CTTGCTACATTCAGTACTTCAGCTTTTTTCGTGTCCTGGGTAACCAAGTCCCCCATCTCATTCAGTAATGGGCCCACATGTTCCCTAGTCTTCCTTTTGTCTCCTGTGTACTTGTAGATGCCCTTCTTGTTGCCTTTGACATCCCTCGGCACATATAGCTGAATTTATCAAATTTCACAGTAGTGTCACTAATGAAACTCTAATTTTGCCTCTGCAGCACATTTTAAAGGTTCCCCTAAAAGGAACTCCTGTTGTGAAAATCTGAAATATCGTAAAATGCTAAGTAACTAATTCTAGAAAAATATGGAATGATTTATTTTCAAAATTATGATCATATAAAGGTAGGAAAATAATAAAAAATCCCAAATAAAAATAATGCTTTGAAACATTTTTTTTTCAATTGTTTAAATAAAATGTATGGAAAAGAACACAGTGTTTTGAACATTGTGGCTTGAAAATTCTACAATATTCAAACACACATTGTTTCTACATATGTACAGCTCCAGCTGGTTTTCTTATGAGTTGCATCTGCGTATTTCAGAGCAGAAATTGGCATATATTTAAAAAGAAAAATAAAAATTTTAGTAAAAGACCAAATTTCTAGTATTTAATTTGCAGATCACATTTTGATTACCTGAATGATTTAATTAATTACTCATATGACAGTGCATTGTCATTGTGTTGGAAGTTCATATGAAACTTCAGGCACCACAGACAGTAAGACCTAGGCTGAATTTGCAGGGTGTGTCTTCCTCAAAATTCCTGTGCTATGGTTTCAGCATTATGCTTATTAAGTTCCTAGTTAACCAAAGACTGCAAACCAAAAGGTCAACACTTAAGAAATTCCCAGATGGACAATTATGACATCCTTCAATGACAGTAAAGCAGACATCATATCCATTTTTAGAACTGCCTATTTGTAGAAGTATGCCTGCACAGCAACAGTTAGGCTGGAATGGCCACTACAGTGAATTCTCTATTTGGCCTTCTATGGCTACACTGTATTTTTTGCTTGAAGCAGCAGTGAAGTCTTGAAGCAAATCTAACAGTCCTCAGTTGCTACTAAGTAGTTCTGGTGTGTAGCAGGTTGCTTTAGCAGGATGCTAAAGTGGAAGTCCTCTCCAGGTGCATATCAACCAATGCTTAAGTGGACATAAAGCTCCTTATACAGCTTTCAGCCAGGGATAAGAGTAAATCTAATCCAACAGAAAACATTCAAATCAGACATAGCATAGATGTATGGGCCTAAGCACCAAATACATTGCTTTAATAATCTGTTTCTCTTGAGTCCAATTACTTGCTTATGCAGACATTGCCTACGCCTCCTGATATTTTGCTGCAAACTTGCATGTTACTGATTTTTAACATGAAATCCAAACTTTTAGTTCTATTAGTTCACCACTTGGGACTAAACACTGCAGATGCCATCACTACACTGCAATTGGTCTTGAATGTTTCAGATAGTTTCACATATACTGTTTTGATTTTCTTCTTCTTGGGAGTTCTGTGCTTGTGCTAAATTCCCACACTTTGACATTTGTGACTTTTGTAGATGCAACAACAAAAAAAGTTCAGCTGAATTATCTGCACTAAGGGAACTCTGAATGCTGTTAAACTTCATATAAAGGAAAAGCATGGGTTCAAACATTTATGCTCTTCTCCAAAGAAAGGTTAAAGAAAATAACTATACAAAACTACGATGAACACTCAAATTTTGTTTGTCTAACATACCTTTAAAGTTTAAAATTATTAGGTGTAATACAGATGCTACTATTATCTTCAAATATTTTTTCATTGTTAACACAGCTAAGGCTACTTACTGCTGAATAAATAAAAGTATCTACAACACAGTGTCACTGTTTTATTGGTTGTTGTTTGGTTTTGGTTTGGTTTTTTAATGTTTTTGTCCTTTTTAATTATTACCACCTTGTGACTTTTATGAAATAGAGCCAAATAAACTAAGAGCTTTGGCAAAGCTGTCCCTCTGGATATTACTATTAGGCTCCTCACACGAAATAATAGTTTAATTTGTCATTAACACTTCTGACATTCAATTTCCTTACCTCTCCTTCAGATACAATACCAGTCATGACCCAGCTTTATATAAATTCTCAATACTTTATGCTCTTTTACTTTCAGAATTGCAGAGCAGCTTACAGCCACACCTCCATCCAATTGAAAAGTATGTGTTACATACCTCTCATCCCGTTTCACAAAAACCACACCATACAACATTATAGGAACATACCTTGATTTTTTGTTCCCTAGACGTATAATCAAGCAAGAAAGAATAATTTTATATGAAAGCAACATTAAGCTGTGGTTTAAGCTTGTTTTCAACTCTCCTCTTAATTCCTTCAAAACCCTGGGCTGCTTTCCAATATTTGCTCTCAACTGAGTATTAACATGTTCAAAATTCATAATGACTTGACTTTAAGGTGAGATTTACAGCTTTGCTGCTCAGACTCTTCAACATTTGGAACGTACCATACATACAAGGCCTACTCACAGAAGTACCTAACATGTCCATACAACTGCCATCTGCATGAACATGATTATGTATGCATACCATACATTTGGTGTATCTTTTCTGAACTTCTATGTTTCCAAATGAAGTTGACGCACATACACAGAGTGTCAGGAGAACTTGCAACAGAAAAAAAACCCAAACAAAAACAAAAACCAAAACCAGTTTGGTTAGCACTGTTCATAGTATACCACATTGCATCAAACTTATTTCATTTTGTATCCCCAGGCAACACAAATAGCATTTAGACTCTGGGTGAGAACTTGAATTATGAAAGGCTGAAGAATCTTAGCTAATCATTCTGAATGTATTTGTGTAGTCATTTTTTCCTTGATAATCCTGCTGAGAAAACAGCAATCGCAGTCTAATCCACCTAAAGTTGTTCCTTAAAAATTAGTATGTAATGCATTTTTCTGCAGTAATTAAACTCCAAAACTTCAGAACTTAAGTTCCACACAGGATGGACAAGTGAGAAAAGTATTTTAAGGAGAAAGGCAATTTAATTTAAAATAAAAGCAAAAACATTATTTTAACTAACTCTCAATTTATCTTTCAAATATTGTACCTAGAGATTTCTATTTCAGAATCAAGTTTGGAACATTATATATCAGAGAGAGAAACTAAACGCCTCTACTATTTGAGAAACATTGCTCAAACTGATCGGTTTTAAATCAGAAAACAAGAATTATGACTTCAGAGATTTAGAATGCAAGAGGAAAGAGATGGCTTAGGAAAAATATATGCCCTCTTTACAAAGAAGTATCTTTAGTGTTTAGACACTTAAGAGGTAAATCAGCCATGAATGTATGAAAAACAAACTGATCTATGTTTAAATAACTGTTTCCAAACTTTGAGTAGTGAAGTTAAGTTTGCAGATTTATGCGTAGAGAGGAAAATCATTACACTTTCCTCTTACTGCACACTACCCTGTAGTAAATCAGAGCAACCTGCACTACAAATATTATATGTAGTGGGGGGAAGTGATGCTTTCCAACAACCTCTTGCTTCAACAGTATAAACATCTTTGAAAACAGAGGTTGCTGATTTTTATGTTTATATTGAATCTTAATCTAAGTATTTATCACATTAAAAAAAAAAATACCCAAACAGGATACTCCTACCTTTCCAGTTAATTTGTTCCCTCCCCTTCTTACCTTTTCTGGAGGTGCAGGAGGCTGAAATCTCTTTGCACAAACTAGAAATGCATCAGGCTGTGGCTTGCCACACTTCACCTCAGGGTCATCTCCCAACACAATATGATGAAAAAGACCAAAGAAGTCTTTGTGTCTGGCTGTTTTCATCTGAAATGTCACTTCAGCTGAGCTGGTGGCAACAGCTATGGGTATGTTGTGTTTGTATAAATGACGGATCAGCTTATCAACCCCTGCAAGACAAATAT